CAAATTTAAAATAATGAATCAGAAATTAGAAATAATACACGTTATTTATAATAAAAATGATAATAAAATATTAAGTAACATTCAAATATGATAAACTAATTGTGTGTGACTTTAGTTGATGAAATGAATGTATACGAGAATTCCAATTTGAAATGATGATGGCCACTTGTGATACCTTTCCTGACCTTCCCACGTGGCAACCTCAATCCGATTGGAGTGTGAAATCAGGCAACGTGTAAGCGTTCTCAGGACAAAAGAGGAAATTAGCCGTTTGATTAGAGTTGTCACATCATATCCGTCAGCACCTGCACTTGGTCCCACGCCACGCTCCGGCCCTCATCATCTTACAATTTTCGCGTATATAATAAGCAACAAGATCTATCCTTTTAAAAGATATGAGTTTATATTTTTTTAGATTCTAATAGTTTATTTTTGTTCATCAACGGTTATAATTTATTGGGCTAAATTTAATGGGACAAATTTATTATACATTAATTAATAATTTTAATCCAATAAATTATAACCGTTGATGGACGAAAATCAACGGTTAGGATCTAAAATGATATAAGTTTATATCCTTTAAAAGGATAGATGTTAATCCCATATAATAAAGAAAAAATTATTTTCATATTACATGAGATAAAATTTTTCTTACATATTTTTCGATAATTATGTCATTTTTTATTTTCTTTTTATTTTATTTTTTCAGATGATAGAGCCTACAAATTTATCTCTATAGCATAAGATAATTTATCTCCTTTAATTTGAGATTAATAAAATCCATATAATAATCATATAAAATTACAAACACAAAAAACTCCACTTATGTAACATAGAGATATAATATTCTTAATATTAAACTTTTTTATTATCATTTTATTATTATTCTAAATACCATTAAATTAGAGAAAAAGTTAAATAAAGAGAAAAAAATAATTTTTGTATTAATGATAATTAAAGTGGTAGTACAAAAAATTAATAGTAATAATATTTTACCTCTATAATATATAGAGATGTGTTTATCATGTTACATGTGGGATGTGTTTATCGTAATATATGAAATAATTTTATTTAATATAATATACAAAAAGAGAGAGTGTAATCTACTAAGAAGAAAATAGAGAGAAATAAAACAAAAAATCTCACTTACTTTTTGTATATGTATAAAATAAAATTATTTCATATAACATAACAAACATATTTTCTGTAAACATACAAATACAGGAATGCGGTAGATGAAAAAACAAATTCGAGAGTTTATGAAAATTTAAGATATAAAATATGAGAAAAATTATATTTACAAACTATATTATGTCTGAGTGATAAGACACTTTTGAGTAGTAGAGTGTTACCGATTAGACACAGTGTAGTTTATAAAAAAAAAGTTTGTCAATATAATCTACTTATAAAATATATATAACAGTAATAAAATGACATTAAGAGTTTTAACGATCATTTTATTATTGCTATAATTCTTAGTGCCTGTTTCGGTCATCTCTTTTTTAAACTAGAAGTTACTTATAAATATAAGCTAGGTCAAACAGATTTTGGAAAAAATTCTTATAACGAAAATCTCTTTTTTATATAATGAAGAAAAAAGTTGAAAGCTAAAAGCTCCTCGTAAGAGTCTTTTATTTGTTTTTCTTGAATTGTGTACTTTTTTTTAAATGAAGAGTTATAAAAATAGATAAAGAAATAATTTTATTGAAATATGTGATTTTAAGTAATTTGTAAGCTAAATTTTTTATGTAATTACCAAACAATTTTTTTTAAACTCTTTTTTTAACTTTAACTTATAAATAACTTCTAACGTGAAAAAAATCAAATAGGCTCATAATTTTTAGAGAGAAGTGTGTGTCATTTTAAGAGAGAGAAATAGATAGATAAATGAGAAGAAATAGTTGACAAAAAAATAAAGGTGTGGGTTCCACCTCTTTTGCGAGAGTGAAATGATATAAGTTGTGTGATTTAAAAGATAAACATTTTTTCCTAATTTTTATGGCTTTAATAGCTCTCATGTTGCTGCAGATAAGAAAATTTGCAGCAACACTTACTTCCACCAGGAATTTATTTATTTATTTTTTTAATTTCAGGATTCGGCTCCGTACCTTAATATAAATATATTTGGCTTTTTGACCCTTATAACCTTTAATTAATAATTAATTACCAATTTGACCTTCATTTGAAACTAATTCGAAAATTTAACCCCTTCAGAAAACATAACACCAATCTGCCCCTGTTTGACCGTTGACCATGAAGCCTACCCGGGTACACCCCTCCCTACCCTGATATTTTTTGAATTTTTTTATCTACCCGGGTAGAGAGGGGTGTACCCGGGTAGAGTTCTTGAATCTGGAAAAATGGTTGAATTAGTTACCCGGGTAAGAAGGGTTGTACCCGAGTAAACATCCAGAGTAGCGTTTTTATATAAATGAAAAAAACTGTGACTATGTACCAAAAAAAAAAAAGAAAAAAGAAAAAAGAAAAAACTGTGACAGGCATGGTTCATGGACGATAGCAACGAAGATCCAAGGCTTCCTCACCATGGCAGCCCTAATAAATTTGTTTCCATCAACCAATTAGCAGGTCATTACTCTCTCTCTCTATCTATCTATAGTTTTACTTAGTTGTGACGTTGCAGAAAAATGGTGAGTTTTGCAGAAGTGGGACTCTTATACTGGAAGCTGAATCCAAATGATTATGAGAACGATGAAGAGTTGAGGAAGATTAGAGAAACTAGGGGATACAATTACATGGTAATGTTGTATTAATTTTTTACTAATTTCATTTTGTTTTCTGTAATCAGAAGGTGCTTCAATTTTTTGCGTTTTCATTAACCTGATAGAAATATAAATCCGAGGAGAATATGAATTGGAAAAAGAAACTTTTTAGCATCTCGGTTATATAAAAACCCTACTCTTGATGTTTACCCGGGTACAACCCTTCCTACCCGGGCAATTAATTCAACCATTTTTTCAGATTCAAGAACTCTACCCGGGTACACCCCTCTCTACCCGGGTAGGTAAAAATTTCAAAAAATACCAGGGTAGGGAGGAGTGTACCCGGGTAGGCTTCATGGTCAACGGTCAAACATGGGCAGATTGGTGTTATGTTTTCTGAAGGGGTTAAATTTTCGAATTAGTTTCAAATGAAGGTCAAATTGGTAATTAATTATTAATTAAAGGTTATAAGGGTAAAAAAACCAAATATATTTGCTTCCATCAGCAGTGATAGCAGAAATGAGGAACCCAATTTTTATATTGGAAAAACTACTTTTATGCTACATGTGATAAATTTCTCTCATACACACTCTTTGATAACTGTGCCACATTTTTATTTTTTTATTTTTCAGGTGACGAAACCCACAAATTTACCTCTATGATATGAAATAACTTATCCCTTTAACATGAGATTAATAAAACTCTTTTTATATGTACAACGGTAATTAAATGACATTATCGTTATATATAACGGTAATAAAATAATCGTAATAGATTACCAAAAAAAAAAAATTCGTAATAAGTCTTACTATCATTTTTCTGTGTTTTATGGAGAGAGAGAGAGAGAGAGAATGCAGAGAGCGCTGTAGGGGGTTTTCAACGGTGTTGGTGTGAAATGTGAATGGGATCCATCGAGAGAGAGAGAGAGAGAGAGAAATGAAAATGTGTAAGTGGGGGGGCGTGGCTGTGATTCGTGAAAAGGCTTTTTATCTGCACCTGCTTGCGTTGCAATTGGTTCAACTTGGCTGCTTTCCTTTGGTTTTATCTCTGATCAGATCACAAAACTGAAAAGAAGAAACCACGGCCGTCCAACTTTGATGTTATCCACTCTGCTAAGTGCTAACCCTAAACGCAAGAGGCCTGTTTCTCTTTCTCTTCCTCTTCCTCTTCCCTTATCTATCTCTTTATTTCATATGCATATTTTACATTTATTACTTCCTTTATTTAAACCTAATTTCTTTTCTTGTTTTTTTGTATGCATTGTAAATTATGTGTTAGCATTAGCAATTTTTATCTTTCATACCTCGATGATTACAATTCTTTTTTAATTTTGGCATATAAATCAATTATCAAATTTAGCTAATAATAGCAGCTTCATAATTCTTCTATTTAGCTAATATCAAATATGAAAAATAGTTTATTCTGGCTTGTATAATATTATTCCTTACTTCCTTTAGAAGATTAAATTTGAATATAAGCTTTTCTAGAAATAGGATGAGGTTGACTGCGAGTTATATTCTGAATTTGAATTTTGATTCGGTGAAGGGGTAATATACAGATACATTGAAATTGAAGTGTGCATTAATATATAACACCAATTTATTTAGCTAAAGAACAATTTCCTAGGTCAGCAAGTTTTTATTTTATATTATAAAGTTATCATGTGGGATGTGTATGGCGCGGTTGAGCTTGTTGCAAGTTGTATGGTTGTCTACTTGTCTTTATGTCAAATGTCATGGCTTCTCTTTGTGGCGTAGTTCAGAAGTTGCATTATTTAGGACAGTAGCATTTCCAAAATAGTGTCTCAGGTGTCTGGACCAATGGTACTTTCTCTAGAATTACAGGTGTTAACTATTAACCATTAACCTGGAAGAGTAGTGTAGCATCAGTTCACATAAATGGCGCTGGAATAAGACCATTTAAAAGTCTGTTATCCCAATTTGATAATTGTCTTAACGTGCTAATGAGTATCCTTGAGACATATTATGCGAGATTGCTTTTTTTTTTTAGTAGAAAAGTTTATTATTTTGATTCTAAGTCCCTGTTTGGGAGATCTCTTTTTTTACTTCTCTTCTTCTTATAAGTAGAACGTAAAACCAAACAACTTTTTACAAAAACTCTTATAATAAAAAGAGTTTTTTTATAATAAAGAAAAAAAATCAAAAGCCAAAATCTCTAAGGAGAATTTTTTTTTTTTAAATGAACAACTCTTTTTAAAATGAACGACAGCTTTTAAAATTTAAAGATTTGTTTTTAGCTTTACCTTAAAAAAAAAAAAAAAGTTTACCAAACATGTTCTAGCTAAATTTTTTCCCCATTCAGATTCAATAGGAAAGCTTATTTACTTACAACAGCTATAACAACTCTTACCTAGGGTCTGTTTTGACAAACTGAATAACTTTGTGAATAATGTAAAAGCCACTTCCCGGTCATTTCTAGGTAAAATAATGAAACTGGAAAATATTACCAGGAAAAGCAGACATTAGCTAGAACCGTACACATAGATACAATTGAAAGGAGGTCGGGGAGAGAGAAATAGGGATGGAGTGTTTTTGTCTTCAATAAACTATTCGTTTCAAGAGGTCCATGTTCTCTGTTCCCTGAGCAGACTCAAATGAACTTCAACTTGTTTAAACAGAAAATTTGGAGTTTCTCTCCTTCTGTTATGCAATATGCGGAAAATATAAGACAAGGTTATGACACTTAATGGAGACTCTTCAGTCATTCTCCGTAGGCTCTTGCTGACGTTTTAGAAGCTTGGTCCCATAGTACTTGCAGACAAGGCACCGTAACACCAATAATTGTTCAACAACGCTATAAGTACCATCTGCCTTTGCTTATCCTCTTCCGTTACACCTTTAATAGTGCCATAACAATTGTAGGCTATCCTTTCACGTCTGTTTCATTATTGTACTCAATTAAGTTAGTAGGAAGAAAAATCTAAATTTTTGGTTGGAATGTTTCATTTGATTGTGTAATTGGATATTTTTTTAGTGTACAAATTGGAAAATTCATGATCACAGCTATTAGAAGAACAAGTCATGAATCCAACTTGTTCCATGCCAGTTCCTATATGGAGTTTTCTCTTCTTGTTTGGGTATCATGATTCCGGTACACACACTACATACCATATGTTCGATATAAAGGTATTCATGAGTCTCACTTAATTTGTTTAAGTTTTTAGGAAGGTTGACCTTCAAAATGTTATTAGAGGAGCCTCTATATCAAAGTAGTCAAGAGTTTGATTCTTGTTGCCCTTGTTATTCTAGATAAAAGTTAAATTTCAGAACAAGGTAAAATGGGCTTGAAAAGATTTTATACTTAACATCTTAAGTATTTAAGAGAGTTGATCTTTGAAACTATACATCTCCTTTGATGGATTTGGCTCCCCTAAGGTAACGGGTGCTCTTTAGACAATCAAATGAATAGATTTTAATAATATTTTAGACATAACTTGGGATGTATTAGTCCAATTGATGTGATCTTGATCTCGTTGGAAAGACAAAAGAGAGATCTACAACCTTTATGAAGAACACGGGATCCAAATCCATCAATTTGGATACTAAAAATTGACTGACAAATAGATTTAGGAAGATTTTTACTAAATCGTTGCTTCTCATTTATCGCTTTAAGTCTTTCTAGCTTGCCTATTGCTTCAATGCTTTTATTTAACAATTTAAACCTGAAACCAATATATTTTTAAGCTAGAATCATATCAAACATAAAAACTCCAAAGTTTTTTGCATTAGATAATATATACTATGCCTTTGACCATATTTATTATTATTTAGCATACTTTTGGTCTTAATCATGCCTAACAAGCGATGAACGGTAATTATACTTATTTATTGTGTATTTTGTGATTGCAAAAAGTATGACTGATGATCAAATATTGCTACATCCAAACTTCATTCCGAGACGTCATCCAGCATAACAGCCCTTGATACCGGGAATAATAAATTTCAGCACCAGAATTGGATCACCCTTAATCATGTGTGATTAGGCACAAGATGTGTGATTAGGCCCAATTTCTTGTGGTCTTATCACTGTCAGTACCCTTTAATAGATACGAAGGGAGTCTCTATTTTTGCGTAGTTTTGTTTTGTTTTAAGATTTTGGAAAATACAGCTGTTTTCCATTTTGAAAGATTTTTCATGATATATTTCAATGGTTTCTGAAAGAATCACTAAGCTGAACACTTCGCTAGTATTATGTTTATGTTATTCTTCGGTGCATCTGGTTGGAATGGAAGGCATACATTTTTAGGTGCTTTTATTTGTCTTTATATATGTTATGTTGTGTGATTATGTTTGTTATTTCTCTGTTTAGGAGGTATCTTTTCTCATCCTGTGATTTTTCTCTGTACTGTACAATGTGCCTAATCTACTTTGTGATCATGGAATGTGAGAATTCAATTTGTTATGCTGATATTCTATAGAAAACAATTGGAAGCACCTTACGGTATAGTTTATCGCTTCTCTTAGAAGAAATGAGACATGTAGCTATTCACCGAAGTGAAGCAAGTTGGTATTATTATTGTTGAAGTGAGATATGGCATGGTGAGACCAACACTCAGAAGAGTCCATTTAAAGCGGGTAATAAATCGGTAACAAACGTAGTTTGCCAAAACAGGGAAAAGTCTAAAATATTTATTTTGTAGACTAAAGTCCAAAATATTTTAAAGGCCCTAGGCTGTCCCCAACTATTTATAACGCTCATGAGGCCATCCAGGACAACCAGGACTTTCTTCTGATAGCTATCTGCCTCTACATTGTGTGTACTTTGTCCCTCAGAATTGTAGGAAAAAATCCTTATGATTCCACCAACCTATCACCTCCCTTTCATATAGATGACGGATCGATCCTCTTTAAAAAGAAAGAAGCAAAAGACGGAATGGAAATAGATAAGGCCAGTAAGCTTGAAGAAGAGCCTCCTCTCTCTGGTGCTTACATCCGTAGCCTAGTGAAACAACTAACCACCTCTGGAACAAAAAACTTGATGAACCCAAAAGACCAAGACTGTGTTGTGAATGGTGATGTTTCCCATGGTCAAAATTTAACAAAACGTGGTAAAGTTGTAAATGTTCGTCAGGCACAACAATCCACACAACCCCAACAACATAAAAAACAAGTTAGGAGAAGACTCCATACTAGTAGGCCGTATCAAGAAAGGCTTCTGAATATGGCAGAGGCTAGGAGGGAGATTGTCACTGCCTTGAAAGTTCACAGGGCAGCTATGAAACAAGCCAGTGAACAGCAGCAGCAACATCAACAAGCCCAAGAACAGCAGCTAAGGCCGTCAGTATCCCTCCAGTCTTCCCAGCACCCAAGTTTTGAGCAAGATGGAAGATTGAAGTCTAGGAGAAATCCCAGAATTTATCCATCATGCACAACCAATTTTCCAAGTTACATGGATGATTTATCCAATTCATACATAGTCCATCCTCCTCCTTCGGTTCCAAATTCTTACACCTGGCCTGATGCTTCTTCCTCAATTACTCCACCGCCCCTTACGGCTGAAAACCCTAATTTCATGCTTCCAAATCAGACTTTGGGATTGAACCTCAATTTTCATGATTTCAACAACTTAGACGCCACCCTTCACCTTAATAACTCATCATTATCCTCATTCTCATCTGCAACCTCGTCTTCTCCACAGGAAGTTCCTTCGGTTGGAACATCGCATGGAGAGGGGTCTTCTTCACTGGTGGATACTATTGAATCCAATGCTTCAACCCAGGTTAGTGGAGGCTTACACACAGCCATGGATGATGAGGGTATGGCAGAGGTCAGGTCATTAGGAGAGCAATATCAAATGGAATGGAATGACAATATGAATTTGGTCAAATCAGCTTGTTGGTTCAAGTTCTTGAAAAACATGGAACATAGGGCACCTGAAGCCAAGATTGAAGATGATGCATACCATAATTTTGACCAACGTCTGGAGTTTCCAGCTTGGTTGAATGCAAACGAGAGCAACTTCGAGCAGTGCTCGGAGGATTATTTCCAAGATTCTACCTTACCTTGGTAAGTTCAACATAAGTTCCATAATTTTGAAAATTGGATTTTGTTGATGATGTACTTTTTGTTTGTACCTCTTATTATGTTAAGGAAAAGGAAAAGGAACTGGACAGTTTGCAGTTTGTTGGAGTCTTCTTGTAACAGCGAAGGAAATTTAATTAGTTCTCACCTTTTTCTTAGAAAAAAAAGGATTCCATCATTTCTCCTCCTACAGAATTAGAAGATTTACTCTGCGTTATTTTAATTTTTGGTGGGATAATTTTATTTGTAAGCTCATTATGCTTTTCTTGTTTTGGGTCATATAGAGTCATTAGGTAAGATTGTCATGTGAATTAGCTTGTTCAAGATGAACTGTAGATTGAATTCAACTGGAATATAATTGAATAGTAAGTAATTATCCTGGCCGGTTTCAGGTTGAACTTGCAAAACTTGGTTAGGTTATCGAGCGTAATTCTAGCTAAGAGGAAAAATTCTTGAAGTTTTCTTCAATCTCCATATTCTTTTTTGATTATGATATTGATTCGTTTGAAACAATTCTTATTTTTTCCCCTCATCTTAAGCCAAGCTCGAGTACCTTAAAGGGCTTTACAGCCCTATGTGAAACCATCAAACGGTTAAGCATTATACATATATATCCCTTAAAAGGAAATCTTCTGTTTATGGTGTAGTTTGTTTTTGGTCATGTATAATTTATGTTTCTTTCCTTATGGGTTTCCTAGTGCGAGACCTAGTGGAACAGTCAATTTGTGAAGCTTGGCCCAGCAAATTTTTTATGCACGTCATGGCCAAGGTTACATCGAGATATGCACTGTGTATCATACTCACTTTAAATCAACAGTTAATATGTGTAAAGCATAATTAAGGATAAAAATACACTTATTTTCAAAAAAAAAAAAAAAATACCTTCATATATCTTAACTATTGATTTTAGTGTTATCTGACATTTCAACCGACTTATGGGCTTTACTTTTCTTTGACTTTGGTGTTATCTTAACTATTGTTATCTGATACCCCTAAACCGCTGCAATACTTTGACTAACCCAGAGTAGCTCGCCTGTTTTCTGATTTCTGCCGTTTCTTTCCTTTTTAATATATTAATTCTTTTCTATGTGAATTGTTGCAGAGTGCATCCATATGGTGCATGCCTTTTTGGCTTTGGACTTTTTCAATGCATATATACTTAATACTAATCGTTTTTCTTTTTCACTTTTGTTTCTTTTTTCATGAAAATACATACACAGCATGGAAATTGGAGATATTGACGGTATGGATGATGATTGGTTAGCGTGACAAGAAGGATTGATTGTTTTCGTTAAATCAAATCCATTGCTGCTCTCATTTTATTTTTGTTTCGGTAACGGGGGTTTCAGGCACTGTCATCCCCCTTTTAGCACTACTCTTTTTGGATAATAAATAAGGCTTGCAAAATTTAAGTAGAGGCAGGCAGCATCAATATGAGTGATGAACATTTTTGCTCCCATTGCTCTTTTTTCCACAATATATGATGCCAATATTGAACAATATAAATATCTAGTGATTCTCTTTATTATTTAAAATGCCATCTTGAGCAATAAAAACATCAATGTTGAACAATACTTGTATTTTTCTTACACTCATTTAAATTGAGAGTGAAAAAATAGAAAGAAAAAAAAACGGGGGTGGACGTGGTAGTTTTCTTCAGTCATTTGATGCCTTGCTTTATTCTCCCCTTGGACCACCCTGTTCCATCTTAAAACAAAATAGAAAGAGAGTCAGAAAGAAGAACAACAAACAAAAGGGTGAAAGGGAAAGTAAGGCAAAAACAAGAGAGGCAACTGCTCTTTTTATTTTTTATAATCGATCGTAATTATTTCTTTGAGGCGAATTAAATTCTCTTAGTGTTTCTACGAGTTTGATTTTTTGAATCGTCTATGGAACTAATTCGGAGTTTGGGGCCGTGGTTTGGCATTACGATATTTCTTGTCTCTTTCCAATGTGGCATTTGATGAGACTCAAACTGTAGTTCTTGTCATCACCTCGCTCGGTCCCTTTGCAACCAATTGTGTTGCCCCACTTGGATAGAGAGACAAGTGCTCTTGAAAGGAGGCTGTGGTTAAAAGCTGAGTGTGGTGACCAAATTTTGGAAGAAATTTAGAGAATAAAAATGCTGCCTTATGTTTACAATCAATTTTCTGCTATCAATATCAGAAAATTTCAATTTCTTGTGTTTGACCAAAGTTGAATTAATACATTCATATGAAAACTGAAATTTGCATGTTTGTTTTTTAATTATTTTCAAAAAAAAAAAAAAATACTTTTTTAGTTCTTTCAGCTAGTTTTTAATTATAAATTATTTTAGATGCAAAATAAACTGATATAAATATAAACTAATTTGTGAAAAAATTAAATGCAATAATTGGAAACTTTAGGAAACACAACACTAACCTATGCATGGAAATAATAGGATCATGATTTTAGAGTGTAATTATTTTTCTTAAATTATTAGCAACAGTTGAATATTTGATCATGGATGGATTGTTTAATTTATTTCTCATAAGAAAGATCTTCGAGTTTGCATTGCTTATCTTTCTTTCTTAGGACTGCTATAAGGGCTAAAATGCTTCAGAACGGCTTCTTCTTCTTTCAAGGGCTTTGCCATCCCTTATCTTGGCAATCTCATTACAGCTCATTCATGCTGCTAGCCCTTCATGAATCCGTTTTCTTGATGTTTTGAAGTTTTTAGAATTGATTAATATTTTTTTTATCAGTAGTATATATAAAAAAATGGGATTTACATTTGTCATTTAAGATGACATAACAAATTTTTTTACACACATCACATTTTATGGGGCCTACATGAAATTGTATCATTTTAGTTAAAACAACTGTATTTTATGACGAGAGAGACAAAAATCATGGTGAGAGAAAGTAAGAGATTTTTTATAATATTTAAATATTGAATAAAAAATATTAATTTTAATTAAAATAACTGTTTTTTAAAAGAACAAATACTTTTTCCATAAAAATATAGTCCATAATCTTTAATTTTTATGAAAAAGGGATTGTTTTTTGGGTACATGATTTCATGTCCTTCAACAGTTGATAAATGAAAACTTTTAATTTGAGATGTGTAAAGTCAATTTCAGAAATGATTTAGTAAAATTGATTTTTTTCTAATACCCAATTTATATATTAAGTTATATTATATCTTTTTTAAATCAATTTATGTATATTTACTTTATAATCCTAAATAAATTATTTCTTGAGATTCGACTTAAATTAATTATTATAGTTTTACTTATAATTATAAACACTTTTTACTTAAATCATTTTTATTTTTGTTTTAAATTTTAATTAAATTTAAAATATAGTAAAGTCCACAAAATTTGTATTTGTTTGGTTGAATATTAAGTTAAATAAGAATAATACCTTTTTGGGGCGATCCATATGAATCTGTAGTTACTATTAATTGTTGGACTTGATTAGAGCTGTCAAATTGTCTGGTCTGTGAGCTGGTCCACTGGCATGAAAAAGCTTTTGGATTGTACTTTTTTTATGTCAAAATTGGGCCTTCCCATAGCCACTTGGATCGGACATTTTTTTGTTATTAATTCAGGGATGAAATTCGTAACTATTTAACTCCAACCTTGTTTTTCTCACAAATACTTTATTGGAATATTCAAATATGATGGAATCTTACATTAATTGAAAATGAGTTAAGTAAAATCTATATAAATAGAAATATCTATGAATCTAATGTCTTAAAATTTTGAGTTGAAATATGATATAGAATTCATTTATTACAGTTGAGCTAGTTTTTTTTTTTTTTTTTTGGAATATACAGTTGGGCTGGTTTAATCCATTAATAATGATCCACTTATCATAAGTGCTCCTTTTGGCCCACCATCAGGTGGAATCAAATCCAAGAAATTTATTTGTCCACTTTTTCAAGGTATAATGGTGAAATTCATTTAATTATTAAAAAAAGGAAATTGTGTCAAGGGGGCCATAAATCCATTTATTTGTCTATTTCTTCAATGTATAATGGTGAAATTTATTTATTTATAGAAAAGAGTGAATTGTGTCACAGGGAGCCATCAATCCATTTATATATGGTGCAAATATCTATGCATTTTCAAACCACTAAGGGAAGGTTTATTCGTAAACATAACGCAAGATGGTAAACAGATAATAGCAAGTGGGATGCTATTCTTCATGCATATATGAAGCTTATATATTATTATTAATGTCTAAGTTGGACATGCATCCTAAGGTTTCCCTGTAACCTTGACATCAGGTTGAAGGTTAGAAACTCGAGATATGACATCATTGGTAAGCAGAACAATGTCTTCTATCTTCCGGTGTACAATGAGTTTGATAGTTGTGTCAAAATCTCCCAGTGCAAAGTCGCATATATCAGTGAAGCTCACTACTCCATTCACCATATTCTCCAAGGACTTGATGCCCATATACTCTGATGACAATGAATCAAGTTCTTTCATCATTTGTAGTTCACTAAGAACATTGTTCATGGAACCATCTAAGCCCCCAACACATTCAAGAACATTGTCACTAGCTTTTCCTCTTACATTTTCTAAGCTTTTAAGTTTTGGGATAGAATCTACGAAATCCTTAGCATGACTAACCTCATCAATGCTTATCATAATGACATCTTCAGCTACTTGCTCTAGTGTGCCAATGTTTCTAGCAGCCACATACTCCTTTGTCCGGCCAAGTACACATAATAATGAAGTTAAAAATATCAATGCCACAAAGGGAATTTGATTTGTCATTGATAAATTGAATTGAGTTGAACTTGAGATAAAGATTGGAGGGTTGAACAAGTGAAGGCCACAATAATTCATTTATAAGACCCCAAAAAATCTCTGCTAGAACGGTTAAGAGGTGCTTTCGGCATGCACGGCCAGAGTTTTTTGAGTGAAGGACATGTTAATTAACCAATAATGCTTCCGTGACCAATAAGGTGCCACATATTAATATTCAATCAATATTATACATCATCATCTTAGATATTAATTAGCTAGCAAGTTGGGTCCTCTATAATTCATAACTTTTGATATTATAAATCAGTAGTTGAGACATCTATCCGCAAGAACAGAACTTGGATAATTTTAGCATTTAGAACTAAACTAATTATCTGTCTCCAAATTCATGTAAGCAGTTGAAGTAGGGACACTAGAGGAAAACTTGTGAGACATGTAACATTGATTATAAGTAGTCACCATTTAACTTTTGATATCATTCCATAAAGTGACAGAGAAACAAGCAAGCTGGCATGCTATATGCCTCGTTAACAGTATACAATTTTAAGATAATGAAGAAAAAAAAAAAAGCAGTAAAGACCAACTTAGGACTAATAGTATTGATCCTAAACACATCTTTCTTATCACTGATAGACTAATAATATTGCTCTCAACTTTGTGTTCAGTTTAGTGACTTGTAGAGATTAAGTGAGAGACACAGGATATCTGTTAACACAGTCAAGCCAAGGGTTACTAGAAGGTTTAGTGGTTCGGCGCATGGCACGCCAAACTACACTGTTACACTTGAAGCCAGAACCAAAAGCAAGTTGCCAAATACGATCCCCACTTTTCACTCTTTCCTTTGCTTCCAAGTAAGCAAGTTCATACCAAATGCTGCTGCTAGATGTGTTGCCAAAACGATGCAATGTCATCCTTGATGCTTCAATGTTCTTGTCACTCAATTCAAGGTTCCTCTGAAGCTCATCAAGAATGGTCTTGCTTGCAGCATGCACACAAAAATGCTCAAAAGCAAGTTTATAATCAGGAATGTATGGTTTTTTCGATGATGGTGAATTCCCATTAGATTTACCACCAAATAAGTGCCTCCACACTAAGGTTACAAAGAAGAAAAGCTGCTCAGAAAAGGGTAGCACCAAGGGTCCTAGTGTAGTGATGTTAGTCTTGAGAGCATCACCACCAATTTCAATCAAGTCTTTGCTAATCTTTAGTCCCTTGAATTTTTGATCATCTTCCTCTTGGTACACACACCTGTTATATTTTTAGCAAACATTTTATTATGGTGTGGACCAATAATTCACCAAAATCATATATGAAAAAAATAAAATTGATTAATCAGACTATTAATTATTTGATGAATGAATACTAACAACAAAACTTGCAACTAACTTTTCCCTAAAGTGGATTTCCTTTGTGGCTCACTTATTTAGTTGGGACAGGGTGTCCCATATTCTGCTCAGTTACTAATTAGACGGTTGCACACCATACTTAAATGTCAACCTGGAAATAAACACTTACACCTAAATATCTATGAACACACATTTGTTAAGATTATTTTTTCCGGGTGTGCACTGATGAGTACAAGTGTGAAAATTAAAGTAATAATTGATTTTTTTTTTTAATATAAAATTAAATATGCTCAAAGACTTGGCTCTATTCATTTATTAAAAAAATTAAATGAATTTTTTTAAAAAAAATATTTAGTTAATAAATCAGGTTTCATGTCTTTAAAAAAGTTTTTTAAACCTATATTTTCAAATAAATTTTTAGATTACGTTAAATTTGTTTAAAAAATCATATCAAGTAATAAGTTTGACTTATATATGTCTTATTTTTAAAAATTAAGCCAGACTTATTTAAAAGAAAGTATAAAAAAAACTTAACTTTTTATAAATCAAGTGACTGTGTGACACTGTATAATTAATTGGTATCATAAAACTTTTTCGTCTAATTTTCGTTTATTTTTTTATGTTTTACTCCTTATCTTCAATTTTTATTTTTATTTTTTAATGCAAAACGGGGCTTCAAAACAAAGATAACTAAACCGAATAACTATGAAAAGCAACACCACAACTGGTTTAAGATATTGCTAAACTGTCACATCAAAATTAATCCATTTGGGAGACTTAATTAATACGAAAGGGTGTGTGACAACAAACAGTTGATGCAAATGCAACATTCAATATATGCTAATCTTCATTTTCAAAACGCAACCATAAGGAACAAGAGTAGAATATTATGTAACATATCATCTAATTCCTTGCTCAAAGTAAAAAAGAAAAACTAAATTATCATACTAAAAGGAGAATTAAAATTAAGAAAAGGAGGACTAATTGAGCAAAAAAAAAAAAGACTAACCTGAAGCTGCGATCATCAGCACCTTTATGAGTGCGAACAATATGTTCAAGACGATATTTGGCACGGTTATAGTCACGACGACGATTTGAGAGCAAAACAGCAGAACAACCCATGCGAAAGAAACAGTTAGAAATAAGCATAGACCTTTCTTTTCCTTGATACCAATTAAACCCCACCATCTCTGTGCTCACCACAACTGCATAGTTGTTTGGGTTAGATTGAAGTATGTCTCTTGCTAAGTCCACACTTATAATACCACCACTGCAACCCATTCCTCCAAGGTTGTAACTCAATACGTTTCCTCTCATCTTGTAATGGTTTATGATCATTGCTGACAATGATGGTGTTGGGTTGAAGATACTGCAGTTCACTACTAGAATACCTATGTCCTTTGGACGAACACTTGTTTTCTCAAAAAGCTCATCAAGAGCTCCAAATATAACCGTGGATGCCTCAGCACGACCTTCTTTCATTGTTGCTGTGTTCTCACTTGACCCGATCACTGACTTTGGGATGTAAGTCTCGTCCCCTATTCCTGAGCACATTAGGATCCTCTTTTGAAACTCAAGGCTACCTTCATCAAACTTGCCTGATTTTCTTGCTATCTCAATGAATTGCTCCCTTGACACCTGCATGCAATATTTCAACAACCACTCACTTAATATAACGAATAAATCTTTAGTGCGCACTTTGTCCATTCTTTTTGTGACACGTGAACAATAAAATATCACATCATCTTAAAAAAATAGATGATATGATGTTTTTAGTCCACATGTCACAAAATGATTGGGCAGTGAATTTTCGATGCATCTGATGCACTAAAGATTTATTCTAATATAAAAACTCTAGTCTTTAGTTTTTTGGTTGATTAAGTATGCCAGATTATCTTAATCATCCAAACAAATGGACCATCCAAATTTTTTGTAAAGGGTGTTTTTTTCTTTGTAACTTATAGTTATTTATATGATAAAAAAATAAAAATGATGATCATGATTAAATACTTTTATAAGTTACAATTAATGGCAGTCGCAGAGTCACTAGTATGTCAACCGGTGTATAATGGTACATATTTTTTTCAAAAATAATGTTAAGCAGCCTTAGTACTGATTAAGTCTTTAAAAATAATACAACATTGACACTAGTTGAATTCTATCGGGTGGATCTTTTGGCATTGACTGAGTTTTTTTCCTGACTCTACCGCTGTTATAACGATGCTTATTATGTATATGACTGAAAAGACAGAAATAATACTCACACCTAAAGGCTAAGGGGATTATCGCCACCAATATTATGATAGGGAATGAGAAAAAAAACAACTCTTAATTTGTGTATGAATAATTGAAATTCTTTTATATGAATGTAAAATGAGACATGAGAAATGGACTCTACAAATATCAAATATTTTAAATATGTATTTAGATTGACTAATTTTATTTTCATAAAGATTTATAATTAAAAGGATAAAAACAAAACTTGGTTATAGAGTGAACAACTTTTTCGATAAAATAAAAAGTAAGGGACAAAACCAAGCATGCAATAAGTTGTACCTTGAGTTCATCATCGGGTTGATAGCATGCAAAATCAATGAGGTAAATGGGTCGTGGCTTTGACATGAAGTAAACGGACAAGGTGAAAACTAAGACGCCAAACGAAGCCATTACGGTGGCAAGGTCATAACGTGCATCTTCCCAGAGCTTCTTCCATAGGTTCTCTTTGCTGAGGTTACCAACCTCAGCACTGAACACCACCAGAAGAACCGGTATAGTGAACAAGTAAATGCCATGGTTTATGAGATAATGGTAACCCAACTTCACGTACTTAAGCTTAACTGATTGAAGAAAATCTGGCAAGCGCCTCCTTACCCTCACAGAGAAGGCCAATGAGCCAGCGTTGGGTCCAGATGATTCAATCCCACGGTTCACAATCTCCGTTGAAAAGAGATCACTTTCTATAGCCATAGCTGAAGAGATTTACTATGTTATTATGAGTATTATTATTGATGCCACAATGTATGCATGTGGGATTAGAATGATGTATTTATAATGGATTATAGTATAGAGGTGGGTGGAAAATAGTTAATGCTAGCACCTAATTGATGTTTGTGTAGTTGAGACTTTTCAACAGCCTTAATTTCTTCATTTAATGTAAGTGGGTTCTTCAGTTCAAAGTCCTAAGAACATGGGAGTAAAATTATCTCTTTCTTTATTTTTCCTTCTCTATCCCTATATGTGTAAAAAAAATAAAAATAAAAAAGTTGTGTACATTTATATCGATCCAGTTGTGTCTCTCTACTCTCTTGTGAACAATGAATGTGAGATCTAATAGGCCACCAGCTGGCCTCCATGTGTACAGTTGGTACAGTTTAACTACCTTTTTTCTTTATAACTTATTTTATTGGGAGTGGATCAGTTAAATTTTTGTGTTTTTTATCTCTCTTTTCACATTCATTAAAAAAATAACATTTAATTATCATTAATAAAGAAAGAGATAAACCTAACAATTTCACTTGACTATATCATATGAAGAGGATTTATTCTCAATTTTATTCCACCTCTTCTACAATAACTTTCAGGAAGTCAATACCTCAATTATATACAAAATAAACCCATTTGGTATTTGATAGGTTTCTCTCTCTCCTTTTTCTTTTTGTCTTGTCTCTGCCTAAGCAGAACTATGCAACTGATAAATGTGGAAGAAAGATTCATATCTATGTATAATGTTAACACAAAACGATGAAAATGGAACAAGTACTGATCATTAAGGTCAACAAATGGAGAGCAATATCCGAACAAATTAACAAGCAATAATGTTTAGAATAATTGAGATCATTGCATGCAGAACCCAGAAAAAAATAATAATTTATGTGTGCATATTTAAGGTGGAGGTTCTGAAGCAGCGCCCCCCAAGATTTTTTTTTAAAAGAAAATTTTAAATGTATTAAAAAATATATAAATAAGAAAAAAAACGTTAACTTAACATAAAAAAAAATTAATAATCAAGAGTCAACTAAGCTGTTACAAAAAAATAAAAATAAATATAGTTCACCAAAAAAAAATTAAATATAGAAAGTTACTTTCCATTGAGACTTGTCGAATTACTACGAACTTACAATTTTTTATCCTCATTCAGATTTTAGATAAGATCCGGATTTTAACTACCATGGTTGGACTTATGTTTACTTTTTTTCTTTTCAATCTTTCTAATTTTTTTTTTTTTACTTGATCTAAATCACCTACACTTTTGGAAAAAAAAAAAAAACTCAAATTTTTGTGTCTGCATGTGCAGACACAGGCAAAAGAGTGAGTCCGCCGCATGTAATACAGAACAATAAGTATATACAAAAATTGTGGTTGTAACACACATTTCTCTGATGGTACCAGCAAAAGAATAGAACGGTTGAGATTGGAAATTAATAATAAGATGATAGAGTGATGGTCAATTGTTCACCAAGGATGATAACACATTTATTGGATATTTTTGTTGAAAAAGTTGCTTAGTTTTATTAGTAAAAAACTTCGTAAATATGTAATATCACCACAACTAAGCTTAAACCATGTTAGGCTTATAAATGAATTAAAAAAAATTCAGAGCGTAGCACGCAAAGAAGAACCACAACCTCACGGATACTTAATTTAGACTCACCTGTACAACACAAGGCGTCTTTAAGAGGTTGGGCAAGGGAGAAATTATTGTATGTCTCAGCATATCCATCATTAGATGCATGTGATTTTTACTGGCTCTGTATGGGTCGTATACATATATCCAGCAGTGTTAATGTTCCTAGAGGAGGAGCATAAATAATTTCTTAAAAGTTGTTCAGTTAATTGGCAAATTGCCACCTTTTGAAGAAGCTTTTCATGGTTACAATCCAACATGGTACAAGTGGATAATTTAAGGGAGAAAAACAAGCATGACTGCAACTACATCTACTTACAGGGCGAGATAAATTGTTTTCTTTATACTATTTGATGTCTATTATTTCAACTATACGAGTTATCACCATGTCCTACCTTGCTGAAGCTATACACATGCACATTCAATGGTATTGAACAAGAAAAAAATTCTTACTCTAAGAGAGCCTAGCACTTTCCAACGAAGCCCCCTAGTAATTTTCAGTCTTTAATAGCCCCAAGAAACAGGTGAATGATGAACGCACAATCAACTTGGAAATTAATAGTTGCATATTATTTGATCAAGGTTGATGTTTGAATCTGAGGGCCGAGGGAGGCAATGGAGGAGGTGACCGTATGTAGTGACAGATCACTATACACAAGCGGTTGAATGTCAAATTGGGGGTGGTGTGTATGCATAACAAGAAAACTAAGAGGATTTCTGGGCTGTATACATATAACTAGCGGTGTGCTAAATAAACCGAACCGATTTTTAAAATCAGTTTAAGAACTGAACCAGTTTAAGAATCGAACCATTTTAAACCGAACCGAATCGTTTTCAAACCGAACCAAATTGATTTTTATAACTTTATTTTTAAATTTTTAAAATGTTTTTCTTTTTAAAATAGGGTCGACACGAATCGGTTTCGAACCAAACCGAACCGAACCACTTTCGAACCGAATCAGTTTTGAACCGAACCGAACTATTTTCGAACCGAATCATTGAAACCAATTTGATTCAGTTTTTCAAAAAATTCGGTTCGATTCGATCCATGCACATCCCTACATATAAGGTTTAACCTTTTATTTATAGATAGTTTTTACTTGAAGGTGGATTACATCCACTTGATCCAACTGGCGTGGGATCCTTTATATGTGTTCAAAACACATGTAAAGGAATTGTTTATCTCATTTAACATTAGATAAAATCATTTTCCTACGTTCTTACATATACAGGAGAAAGGAGAGAAAAAAAGCATAAATAAATTCCAGCACTCAATATATGTATATAGAAAAATTGTTTTATCTCATGTTAAATACAATTCCCCAAATGATATTTTTCACGTTTCGCACCAAAATCTTAACAAAAATAAGAGTGATGTAAAAAACAAAAAAAAAATTGCTGTGCTAGCATCTGCATTCCTTGTTCTCTATCGCCGAGTAATTGTAACCCGAAGCACAAGACCTATCTAGGAGAACAATCACACCTAAAACATCTATTCAAAATTCACAAATTACCCCGCAGGAAATTTGGCATTAATGAGTGTTTTGGGCCAGAAATGGAAGTCATAGTTTTTAAGGAACATCATGGGCTCATGGCTATGACTGGTGTGATGAAACTCCCAATCAAGCTATTTTAAGTATGGGTTAGTTGTTTCTCCTACCAGAAACAATTAACCTTCCTCACATGCATACGCATAGAATTTTGCATCAGTTTTTTTTTTTTTTTTTTTTAAGTCTGTGCTTCTCCTGCATCATAAAAAAAATATTGCCTTTTAAATATTTGATCATAACTCATTAAGTGATCAGATTTTAGCAAAAAAGTTTTGGACAAGAACTTGGTCATGTCATGTGAATATTTCTCCAGCGCAGGCTTATTTGAAAAGTAGATGCAACAAACACTGCCTTTTAAAAGAGTAGGCAAGGTAGATGCAATACTAATGATTTATGGAGATATCCAAGCTTCTTCCATCAACTTTGACAGGGACATACAGCCTCAAGGGGAGCAAAGTAAACGTGCTCAATAATGAAGAGGATAGCAGATAAAAATGAGAGTTAATTCGAACCAACTTGCCAACATTGAACAGTAAGTATAAAGTTGTCAATAATAATTATACAGATAAGAAAGTATGACTTTCAAAGATTTGAAGGATAATGAGACAAAACATTTGTCGTTTTCATCATGTATAGACTTGTTTGAATGATGAACATTCTAACTTCTTAAATTAAATCAAAATGGGGTATACATGAAAGAAACCAAGAACATGACCAACAACAATTGGACCATAACTTGTCATCACTGACTACCAGGTAATCTTGGATTTGTTAGTAAAAAAGATTGTAACACCTTGAACGGTACATGGCCAATCCTCAAGACAAAATTAAGCATATTTTTTCAATTTGTCTCATGTTAGGGTCATCAAATCATTTCCTTCAATACATATTTTCCTTTGTGAAAATCAAATGAACAATCTCAGCTGAAACAAATACAAATCCCATTGAGCAATCAAGATCGTGCCCAACACTTTAGGCTTATCATAAATGTTTTAACAGATTATAACGTATTCAGATATTGGCCTCAAATGTAATGCCCAGGAGTACTCAGAATACAACAATTTTTTTATTTTATTTTATTTTTTTCTTGTGGGGGAGTGGGGTTAAGACCACGACGTGTCTAATCCAGTGGCTTCTCAAACATTGTTTAATTTGTCCAGCCCCATTCTCATTATGATACTTCCAAAAATACTTGGAAAGAGATACCCATTTTTCATATGGGCTTCGATTTAAGTAAATATTCAAGAAAAAAAAAAGAGAGAAAAAAAAACACAACAATATAGCTTCGCAACCTAATCATGTTGATAATTCATATGATAAGTAGACAGGATAACCTAGGCCAGTTTACAATCGCAGAATGTGTTTCTCTAAAAAAGGCAGAAACCTAAATTCAAATTTAAGACAAAAGTTCAAAAAAAACAACAACACAGTGCATAAATGAGTTCAAAACAAACACATCAGAAACATGCATAAAACATCTCAAATCGGCCACGTGTGCACCAAGTCTTCCTTATTGAACATCGATACTTAAAGAAAATATGAACTCATTCAGTACAATCAACCAACCTAATGATTTATGTACTAGAACCAATTTATATTCAGGTTAAGAGGATGCATGTCCTGTATATCCAACCACTTTTTTGTTGATAATAAAACCTTTCTCTTCTTTCTTACCAAAAAAAATAAAATAAAACCATTCTCTTCTAGATGGGACCATCCATAGGTTTGGAACCAAGTTTCTCTACCCCCTTCAGCACCACCATACAGGTTATTTGAGATTTACTTATCGATTAAGGTAGAAAGCAATACTCAAAATTGATTTACATTAATTGCACGTTTTTGACAACTTTTTAAGTTTAAATTGGAACAAACATTTCTATAGTAAAATTGAAACTTAACTGAGGACCTCAAGAAGTTTTAAAATTTTGATATGCACAGGTAATGTCTCCAATATCCATTTCAGAATTGTCTTCAAGTAAAGGATCTTCGTAATCCATGGTATCCTGTTGCTCAAGCTGCACATGCAAGTTCTCAACTTCAGAGTCATCACTCTGAAGCGAATCATCATCACCTTCCTCATCGGATATGTCACTGTATGGCTCAAACTTCTTCTTCCTTCCTCTATAACCAACAAGACTCAGGACTTTTTCCTTCCAGAGCACCAAGGGGCATTTCTGAATCAGCTCGGAACCATCATAAGCTTCGGTTAGGAACACACTAAACCTCTTCCCCCTCTCGGAGACATAGAAGATGCCACAATGCTTCAGCAGAAGCCTCATCAGCTTCTGAGGCATCACAAGTTCCCAACGGAAGTGAGTGAGGTGATCAGTTACAAGCCTCTTCTCAATGGTAAAACTAAGCAGTTCATGCATAACAGCAACAGCCCTCTTATCAAATTCTAGAGATCCAGCTTTAAGACCCCGTGCATCCGCATAGGGAGACAAATAAGGCATTTTCTGAAAATTTTGAATCTTTTCTCTGTAATAACTATACACCCTCTTATAGTTTGCAGGGAATTTCAATGGGAATGCAAGTGAAAGCATACCTGGTGTATGCGAGGTGGTGGTGGTTTCAGTTTCAATTTCAGTTATCCCTGTGACCATCTTCTTCTCCAGTTCAGTGATTGCCCAAGCAGGGTTCCAAGACACAAGCTCCAAGAACTCAACTTCATCATCAAGGGACTTACCAACCCTAAAATGCTGAGGATACTTGTGCACCCAATGGCTCCTAAAATCCATTGGCAACCCAAAATCTCGCCTGAAATGAGCAATCTTATCCAATGGAAGACGTTTGTCCTGGGACATCATGAGAAACCTCGTAACGTGTTCTGCGGCTTTATCAGCGTGGTCACCCTCAAGAACCCTTTGCTGTTCTTGCATCAAGTCCTCGGCTTTCTGGGTCATACCGCACCATAACACCCCCTTTTGATCCTTGTACAACTCGAAGAGCTTGGGTGTCTTGCGAAGGAAATCGGAGATGCTATGGGGCTTGGGGAGATTGATCTGCTTGCGATATTGTTCGAGATTGCGAACAGGAATCACCATCTCGGGCTCTTGCTTGACAAGCTCCATCAAGAACACAACTTTGGAGGCTATCTTCCATTTCTCTGTTGCTAACTCAAGCTCATGCACCCTCTTCTTCTTGCTCCTGTCTTGTACCCTCTTACTGCTCGTCATCCATCGGTAATGCCAACAATAACACCCCCTTCTTCTCCCCAACCACCAATCACCATTCCAATCTGCATTGATTTTGAATTGCCAAGGTTTAAGCATTTGGGGAAGGTAAAGTAGGAAGCGAAACGAAACCTGTCAAGAATTTGAGAATTGCCGAGGTTTATGTTTTTTTTTTTTTTTCGGTACAGACCGAGGTTTATGTTGCTGTGCTGACACTTGCAAAAGTATTGGGCCGTGGCCTATTTGGCCCAATAACTCAGTGAAATTGGAATATTATAATAACTTCCTTAATTTATTTATTTTTGGAAAAATACAATAGAAGACAGACACTAATTAACTACTCTGGTCTCTTAGTACCCAGTTTGTCCTTAGTCACCAGATCTATGCACCCCCATGGTGCTAAAAAATTTATAACAGTATCTCTCTTATCAGGTAGAGTTTGTTAGGCCATTCAATTACCCACAATATTTCCTTCCCTTAGTATATGATTAAGCTGAATGTTCCAGTTTCTATTCAGAAATTCTTTCACCTTCGTTCCAATGGGAGCAAGTGGATGGTTCCCCATTTCCTCTTGCCTTATAAAGTCCAAAACCTGAGATGAGTCTCCTTTCAAAATGATATTTGTAAGGGCGCCTCTCTCAAGCTAATAACTTCCTTCATTTATATATTGTGTTTAATATCTTATATGTTATAGGAGATAAAATTATTTTCCAAACACACATAAAAATAGGGGTGTAAATAAGATGGATCAAGCCAAACTTTAGCTTATTCGAGCCAAGCTTATGAAAAATATTTTGAGCTTGGTTTGGCTTGACCCATTAGCCTGGTAAGAGCTTAATTTTAGACTTAACTTGCATTATTTATGAAAAATTAAAGATTTGACTTGAGTTTGATTTGACTTGACTCATTTGTAATTATAAAATATTTTTTTTCCAAACTCATATACGTCCAAATATTAGGACTATAAATGTTATCTAGCCGGTTAAACTAAGTAGAAAGTTGGGGTAAAGTCGTGAAAATGTGAGTGACAGAGGGAGGAAATGAGAGACCAATAGTCAGAGAGCTTATTTGTGAAAATGTGACCGTGAGAGAATGCAAGTAGACAATAGTAAAAAAATAGGGTTAATGATTCAATGACATAAAGATATATTATTTATTATAATAACATATCAGATTAGCTCACCGGCTTTCAAGTTAAGCCTCATTAAATTAGGTTTTAGCTTGTTTGTTAAATAATTTTTTTTTTAAACTTGAGCTCATTCTATTTATTAAACAAGTTAGGCCAAGCCAAACTTAAAGCAAGTAAATCCTTGGACCTTGACTAGCCGCTTGGCCTATTTACACCCCTATATAAAAGTATATGTGACTGATTTTTTTTTTCTCTTTTATCTTCACATGACCTCATATGGATTCCATACACTTTTATATATGTATATGAGATAATTTTATCATGTATAATATGAGAAATATCAAACCATGTATTGTGTAGTGAACTTAAACCTAACGCGATTAGTCTAATTTAAATTAAGAAATATATTAAAAATTTGTGGGATCCAGTTTAAAACAAGCGTGTCTGTTGACTGTCTCTTTATTTACTTAACATATTGCACCTGAAATGATCATTAAAATGCAAACCATTTTCATATAAAATAAATCCAGGAGAGAGGATACAAAAAAAAATAAAAAATCCAGGAGAGACGTTATATCCTGACCATTGAAGGACAGATTACTTTTTAATAAAAGAGGGGAAACCTGCACTAAGACTTTTTTATTTTTGAAGAAAAAAATATGGAGCACAAAGTACTTAATCAAACAAAATAATCATTTGACTTAACGCTAGTTAGAGAAGTAGCCTTATATAATAGAAACCCTCTACATTCATTCGATGTCGGATAACTTTTAAGTCTACAAAGAGAGTTCTACCCAAAAAGTTTGTATTTTTATAATGAAGAGTGTTGTGACTTAAAATTAGCTTGAGAATTTATATTTATTTAACGGTAGAACATTTTTCTAATAGGAAGTCTTAGGTGCTCCTTCTAAAAGAATTCAAAGTATTGAAAGTGAGAAAGAAAAATAATTCATAAAGTTAATATGATAAACATTTAATAACATAGAGTAAAAAATTTCTCTTATTCTAATTGTACTTAAAAAAATTATCCTCACATGATTGATAACTGTCACTTTAGTTATAATATAAATTTTTACTTATTGTAATTCTACTTGAAAATTTTATCCTTACATGGTTGATAATTGTCTTTTAAAACATATTACCAAAATAGTAAAACTTAAGGAGAATAGAACCCAACCTCTTAGTTTAATAATCATTTTAATCGCTTCAATTTAATTTTTAATGTAAAAAAATTAATTTAAGTTTATAATTAAGTGATGGCAATATTAATATTTTTTATTTTATTTTAGATAATATGATATAAATATCTCTAACATGCACATTCCTTCATGCAAGAGCCATCAAATTTGAAAAATGAATAATGTACATGCCCTTTTTAATTTTATTAAAAAATAAAAGCAGTGTGGTTCAAACTAGGAGTTGTGACCATTTAATGACAATAGTATAAAGAACTAATTTAACCCTACAACTTAAACTTGTAAGTGATAGTCACATTAATAAATTTATATTAATATCTGTTAGAGAATAATATAAATCATTAAAAAAATATTTACTCAACATCTTAAGATTTTGAATTGAAGTGGTTCTTTATATGGTATCAGAGCTTCAGTGACCATAAGATCACAAGTTTGATCCTCACCTTCCCCACTTGAGGAATTAAATAAGCATAAGGCAAAATCAAAAAAATTGGATATATGTAATATCCACGTTTCAAGCCCAAAAGGCTCTTACGTAAGGTGTGTTATGGATACAAGAATCACAAAAACTTTTATAACTCTACCGTATCTTTTATTTCATTTCTTTGGAAATAATCTCAAAAACTTGTTGAATTATGGATACAAGAATTCAAACTCAATACGTAATTTTCGCATTCAAAGAATTTTCTTGAATAATTTTTTTTCCAGTTATTAAATCCCTTTTTTTTACCAAGTTCAATATTAATAAAATTAATAAATCTTTACATGTTTCGATGTAACAATACATTTTTATTTTAACAAGTAGTTTTGTTGGGTGGTTAATTGGTCACATAGTTTTGATGAAATGGATTGAATTTATATTAGTCTGGATACAGCAAACCAATTCGATTAAATTTAATGTACCCATGCAATCAAATAGATTCATTATGTTAGAGTTTCAAAATTTAATGTCTCAAAACTTTATTGTTTTCTTTTTTGTTACTTGCTTATACTATTTCGGCTTCAGCAGAATACCATTGCCCTTTCTTACTGTCGATACAGAATTGAAAGAATTTCAAAAAAAAGGCGGAGAATTTGATACAAAACAAAAAATAGATGTGAAAAGAATTTCGGAAACCGCAGTAACAAAAAAATAACAAAAGGGATCCACCGAAAATGATCTTTCTCCTTATCTTTTTTTGAAAAAAAAAATTGTACAAAATAGAACATGAAGAAAATATCTTCAGATTACAAAAATATCTTGTAAGAATTCTTTTTGATTCTAACCGAAGAATTTGTCCATTGCGATATATAAAAAATGATCGATAATTGAAAATGTTATAAGAAGTGAAATTTCACAATTTTTTTTTAATATATGTCAAAGTGATGGAAAAGAAAGAATATCTTTTACATATCCACCCAATTTGTTTACTTTTCTTATTTAAAAGAAAATTTGAATGATGAATTGATTAAAAGAACATTCACACAGCGATTTTGAGTTGAATTGATTTTTTATAATATCTCTAACATTTGAACATCCCAAGCATTAATTAATAAAGAAAAAACTTTAATACATATTCATTCTAAATTTGGTCTTTCAACAGTTTGCACGATAACATGCTAAATTTATTTACTAAAACAAAAAAAAAAATTGATTTTTCATTGATTACCGATTTTGTCATTTCACAATCAATATTTATTTCAAAATCAGTTTATGATAACATGCTAAATTGATGTAAATTTTGATCAGTAAAAAAATTACAAAAATTCATATGCATGCGAAGAATAAAATAAAAAATGAAAATATGAGTAATGAATTAAAAATTTATAATAGAATCTGTCACAAACAAGGAGTACATCAAAGGGCAAGCAACCGTAATCTCAACAGTGTTAGGGGCTTTTGTAAAGTAAGCATATTTGAATTTATAGGAAAATATTAATTAGGAGGTATTTAAAAATTTATTTTTATATTAAAAGATATTTTTTTAAAAAAAAAAAATCTTTGTCTTAATTGAATGTGGATCGGTCTATGTTTTGTTCATTAAACAGTACTAAATTACTTAGGATTTGGATCCTCTCAACAGTATTTAAATTGGATTTGGTCGTTATCCGTTATTACCACGTTTTCATTGCGGTGAATCATAACATCTTTATTTTCCCATGGCCGTATAAAATTGCGTTGAACTTGTCATGAAAAAGGCACGCGCGCTTCCAAAAAGAGGGTTTGATTAGTATACCTATCAGCTTTCAAAAGTGGCATATGAATATGGTAGGCAACAAATCAAAGTTCGGGAGTATAATTATAATTACTCCGGAAATCTAAGGTTCACGAGAGGCTGAATGGTGTGTTTTCAGACATATATAGTTATTGGAAAATTTATTATCCAAAAAAAAAAAATGTTATTGGAAAATTTAGTTAAACGAGAAGGTCGGTGAAGTCAATTGTTTCAAAAAGAAAATGCATAATACATATGTAATTACTCAATGTATGGTTGTTTTCAGTGTGTTGGACTTTTAATGGTGTTACGATTGAAGCGTCAGTGTTACTATTGTAGTATTAATGATGGTTATGATTGTAACATTGATAATGGTTACCATTGTAGCATTAAAGATAATTTTTGGATTTGAATTTAATTATAATTTTTGTATTTGAATTTGAATTGTGTAACAGTAGGATAAGGCTTTATAATTTAGGATTTATTATTTTTGTAATTACTGCTGATAAGTTATCTGACTCTACACTCAAAACGACGTCGTTTTGAGATTGAAAAATTAAAAATTATAATTATAGAGACTATAATAACTCTGAAATAAATTAAAATTACAAAAACACCATGATTTCCGTCCAAAATGACGTCGTATTGGCTTACTGCAGATAACTTATCTGTATTTACTGCAGAAAAAACGAACCCTTTTATTATAATGGTTTAAGCATTTAAATCGTGTAACAGTAGTGTTCGGTCCTGGAAAGACCGTATTGCTATACCGTATAGTATGCGCTCAGAGATACTGTATAAACTGATGTATACTTGGCTTATAGCCGATGTCCCAATCACTGCGCACAAGCAATCGGCTTATAGCCAAGACGTGGGTGTGTGCACAGTGTTGGCAGTATTAGTAAATAGGTTAAAAGTGTATACCTGAGGTCTTTAACCTCTTATTTATAAGGGTTACCTCATGGGCTTGTGTAGATCTCCCAGTTGTATTAGGATTTAACTTCCTTTCTGTTGGGATAGAAACTCTATCCTTAGCTGCCTTACT